TGCGCAAAACTGGAATATCGCATAAAACATTTGCGAATAAAGCACCGTTTCCATCCAACGAGTCAAAGAGAATAAAATCGTCACTTCCTGATAAAGTGGCACTAAATATCACTAAGAAAAGTAGGAGAAGCCACTGAATATAATAATTTTCATATATAATAAATTACTTGCGCTTCAGAGCGAGCAGACGAAACAATAAACGCTGTCATTGCTTTCGGAGGTGGATACAAATAAAATAAAATGATTTTCAGTTTTTTTTTAGGTAGGTCTATCATTAGTTTTTAGGTACAGAAATTGAATAAAGTAATTAAATGTAAAACAGCATTGCATATTTGACTATAAATTAAAGATGAATCTTTATTAAAGTTACAAAAGCTATTCAATCAGAGCAGTGAGTGATTTATTTGTTGTTGTTGTTTGATTAATATTAAGAAAGTGCTGTCACTTTAAGAGAATGCACTGATCCAGTGCACTGATGCAGTACGTTCAGCCGGCTATGTCTGCTATAGGATACTTACCAAGACGGGCATTTTGACAATTTTTGTGTGAATTTGTCCATTTAGAAAAGTACTTTTCCCAAAAGAAATCCATTGTCTGTCGCCAACAGTGTACTGTTTAATGCACAGTTCAAACTCACTTTCAAACCAAAGAACTTTCTGTTGGTCAACATGGTGAATTTGTTTGAGCAATTCAAACCCAATCCAAAATCTAAGCTTTTAAACAATTATTAATTGAACAGTAAGATTTTTTTGTTTTTTTTAAAGGATTCTCTTCTGCTCACCAAGCATGCATTTATTTGATCCTAAATATTTTTTTTACTATTTAAAACAATCGTTTTCTATTAGGAAATATTTTAAAATGTAATTTATTCCTGTGATTTCAAAGCTGAATTTTCAGCATCTTTACTCCAGTCACATGATCCTGTCACTTTAAGAGAATGCACTGATCCAGTGCACTGATGCAGTACGTTCAGCCGGCTATGTCTGCTATAGGATACTTACCAAGACGGGCATTTTGACAATTTTTGTGTGAATTTGTCCATTTAGAAAAGTACTTTTCCCAAAAGAAATCCATTGTCTGTCGCCAACAGTGTACTGATGTTTAATGCACAGTTCAAACTCACTTTCAAACCAAAGAACTTTCTGTTGGTCAACATGGTGAATTTGTTTGAGCAATTCAAACCCAATCCAAAATCTAAGCTTTTAAACAATTATTAATTGAACAGTAAGATTTTTTTGTTTTTTTTAAAGGATTCTCTTCTGCTCACCAAGCATGCATTTATTTGATCCTAAATATTTTTTTTACTATTTAAAACAATCGTTTTCTATTAGGAAATATTTTAAAATGTAATTTATTCCTGTGATTTCAAAGCTGAATTTTCAGCATCTTTACTCCAGTCACATGATCCTTCAGAAATCATTCTAATATGCTGATTTGCTGCTCAAAAACATTAATTTATTATCATTATTATTAGGGAAGCTCCTGTACTCGTGCTCGTTAAAATGCCCCGATACTAAATGCCGATACCACACAGCATGCGATAAGTGCCATATTCAGACAAAGAAACACCGACAACAGACAGCAGAATGGAGTTATTAGAGATTAAAGATGTCTACGAAGTATATGTATGCAATGAATATAAAACATTCAGTATTAATGCCTGTATAGCTGATTTGCGCCAGCTGGTAAGCAAAGCACGCTGAGTGGATTGAGCGCGCGGCGGCGCACAAGCGCGAGCTTGTCGAGTGAATATCCCTTTCTCACAGACATCACTGGAAAGTTTGTAGTTCGGTTGGATATGTCAAAAAGAAGTAAGTAAAACAATGCACACGTTACTTAATGGTAGGGAGGGAGGGAGAGAGAGAGAGCGCGCACTTCTGTTGTG